AGACATGACATACACATCTCCTGGTGAACAGGTAAGTCTTTTGACAATGCCCTTTGCCTTAGTTTTAAATATGCCTGTTGATAGAGAACTTGACCTTTGACCTGCTTTCACGTTTCTGAGCTCTGACGAGATACCTTTTCACAATGCTTTACTTTTTCAAGGCCCGTGTTGCTTTATTTTTACAAGGCCTGAGGCCTATATCGGGTAAAGGCCCTTTTAATTAGTTCATCTCTTGTAAATCAGGGTCCTGATAGGCAAATCTGACCTTATATTGTCACTGTGGTCTAACCCTGCGCCCAGATCTGTAAACATCTTCCCCAACAATCTTTTCCACATCATACTTACCATGCATATCAGGGGGAATCATAGATCCGTGTGACGGAAACATGTCATTACTAACCCAAGGAAGTAATTTTGAAGCGTGAAACACCGGATACGTGTGCGAGTGTGGAAGGATTTCAACAACATACGAAGGACCATCCACATAACCGATTACATCCATAATCTGCCGTGACCCTCTATAGGAAGGCAATAACTTCTGGGAAATATTCTCCTCAGGGAGAAACTCTTTTGACTTTACACAGACCAAATCTCCTACGGCAAATTGTAAGGGTTTGCGATGCTTGTTAGCTTGTTCTATCATTTGATGCTGCGCTTCACAAATATTTTCTTTAACTTTTTCCAGATCTTTCTGGTAATGAATAGCGAATTCCCTGGTTCCTGGCGGGAGTCTCTGCACTTGATCAGGGTTTAGACAGTCAATGGGTCTACGAGGGCGCCATCCAAGATGCAGTTCATTTGGTGTTCTAGGTGTAGCTAGATGAACAAAATTGTCATAGGCACTTGCAACCTTTGGCAGATGTTCGTCCCAGTCAATTTGATCTGGTCGAATGTACATGCGCAGTACTTGCTGCAGCAGCTTGTTCATCTGCTCGGTCTGTCCATTTGTCTCAGGATGTCTACCAGAAGACATAGTCAATTTAGAACCGTATACATTCATCAGTTGCTGCCACTGCTCACCTGTGAACCGCGAATCCCTTTCACTTACAACAGTCAAGGGATGCCCAAAATCCTTCACCCAATGATTAAAAAAATCCCTCATCACCAAATCAGTTCTTGCTTCCCAAGGGAGTGGAACAAACACAACGAACTTGCTAAACTGATCTACTATCACCATAATCTGACTTTTTCCCCTTTTACTCTTTATCTTAGTGACCATAAAGTCTATAAACACGGAGTCCCCGGGTCCCGACGGAATAGCTAGCGGTTTGATGAATCCAAGGGGAGGCTGTGTGAAACTCTTGTTCCTCTGACATACCTGACAGCCTTGCACATAGGAAATGCAGTCATGCTTCATTCCCGGCCACGTGTAATAGCATAGGAGGTTAGCATAAATCTTCCTCCATCCGAAGTGCCCCTCCGTATCGTGGTTTTCCCCATGTATCATGCTACGAATTTCCTCGCTGTTCGGAACGCATAGTCGATCATGGACATCTGTCTTTTCAAACAATAATCCTTGCGTTACCCTATAGTCCAGGACTTCATGCACTGTTGTCTGCACCTTGCCAATTAATTGAGTATAGACCGGATTACTCTCATAAGCAGACTTAATTTTCTCTTGTAGTTCGGTGCTTGCATCTAAATATGTGACAATAGCACCGAAAAAGTCAGCTCTTCTACTTAGTGCATTGGCGACGGCATTGTACTTCCCCTTTACTGGCTTCAGTTCAAAGTCAAACTGATCGATCTCCCCAGCCCACCTAGTCAGTTTAGGAGTCATCCGAGCCTGGGTTTTTAGCCAGCGAAGTGTTTCATGATCCGAATAGACTTTAAAATGGCGTCCTAGCAGATGATGTCGCCAGTGGTTTAATGCTGCCCGTAGAGCGAACATCTCTCTCTCATAGGTAAAAGCGGCGACCTTTTCGCTAGGCAGTCTACAAAACATAAATTCTACAGGTATGTGCCCATTCCCATCATCTTGTTGGAGTACAACACCGATCCTGTATTGACTGGCGTCAGTGGTTACGATAAAAGGCAGAGATGGATCTGCGACTTTCAATATCGGATAGTTAATTAAACATTTCTTTAAATGCTTAAAGAATGCAGTACAACTCTGATCCCATTTCCAGATGGTTTCTTTCTTCAACAACCTGTGCAATGGGGCAGCGATTACAGTAAAGTTCCGAACGAACTTGTGGTAATAATTGGCCAGACGAAGGAACGAACGCAGTTCCGTTGACGTGTGCGGGTTTGGCCAATCTCTAATGGCTGCAATCTTGGCGTCTTCCGGCTTGATTCCATCACCATCTACCATATGTCCCAAGTAAAGAACCAGACGCTTTGCCTACTCACACTTTTTCGGGTTAAATCTTAAATTTCGCCTCTCGCAACTTATTAAGCACAACTCGAAGGTGCTCCTTGTGCTCACTCAACCTCTTACTAAAAATTACTATATCATCTAAATAAACAACAACAAATTTATCAAGCTAATCACGAAAAAGTTCATTCATACATCGCTGGAAGGTTGCAGGGGCATTTGTCAAACCAAACGGCATCACCACAAACTTATAGTGGCCATAACTAGTACGGAAAGCCGTTTTATGCTGATCCTTGGGCAACACCTCAATCTGATGGTAACTCGACTTCAGATCAATTTTGAAGAAGTATCTGCAACCCTGAACTCTATCCAGAAGGCCATCTATCCAAGGTAACGGTTCATTATTCTTAATGGTTATCGCGTTGAGTCCCCTATAATCTATGCACATACGTAGTTCGCCGCCCTTCTTTGGCACAAACAGTACTGGTGCACCGAATGGTGAGGAACTTGGTTGAATCCACCCTTTCTCAAGCAACTCATCCAACTGCTTTCACAATTCATCAAGCTCTTTTGGAGACATCCTATAGATAGGGCCCTTGGGAATTCTGCTACCAGGTTCTAATTCTATTCGGTGCTTGGTTTCTCTTTCAACCACTCCACTTGGGGCCTCTCCCACATCTGCGAACTCAACTAGCAATTTCTGTACATTGGGGGGAATGGGTTCTTCCTCTTTCTTACTTTCACTCACCGGGCGCACATACGCAACAAACACTTTGGTTGGCGAGGTCATTCTTGACCACATGGTGGGCGAACAAGGGGGCACTCATGCAGCAAAGGGATAGGCTATTCTCTACGCCAGTTTGCAACGAACCTCTCAGTTCACCACCAATGAGCACATACAATCACACAGCAAGCATGGATGAGATCACACAAAAATCTCACTGGAGGCCAGAGAGATGAAGACCAGGTAGCGCAAATTTAGAATCCCAATAAATTATCATACAAGCAATTGAGAGTTTCAGTCAGAGGCGCTCAACAGCGCAAACCCAAGTATCCAGTATCTCCACTCAGGTATGTAACTCTCTGGAAGCTCTTCTCTCTTCTCTCTTCGTCTTCTCTCTCGGTCTTCTCTCTGTCTACTAGCGCAGCTCTCTGGCTCAGCGCTTCGCCCCTCACAATAGCGCACAAGTGCACCAGCACTTCCACACTTCATGCGAATGAGCAATCTGCCGAACGAGGAGGCTGGCCAGCCCTTATATTGTCTTGGACCGAGCTTCAGCTCGTGCCAGCGTCTGTTTTGGGGCTTGACTTGGTTCCGGTACCACGTCGCCACGGCCTGTCTGCTTTCATTGGTCTGCTGCTGCTTGGGCCTTTGAGTCACGACATTTCGATTATGAATTTATGACACATGGTTTTGACTGTCGACTGTGACTCCTGCCTCGAGGTCACGACTCTTGCCTATGGATTTGCCCTTTGTTCGTGGGATGTGACTTTCCAACATGACTTTTCATTATGAGACATGATTTTGCCCCTAGATGTGACTGTTTGCCGGGTGCCTGTTGGACTTGACTGCTAAGGTACACGACTGTGGCTTTTCTGAAACTGACTGACTCGGCCTTTCTTGGCCAGGGCCTCTGACCCTGAAACTTGAATTTGGGGTCTGAATCGTGGAAGGCGTTTCATCATCATTAACAGCTGCAGCAGCAGGAGTGAGTGGCAGCAGCGACATCATGGTCTGTAACAGATGTCGGGGCCACAATTTGAACGAACGTGGCGTTGTCCTGCCATTATCGTTGGCATGTTTTGTCGCACATTTTCTGCTTGGGTGCTCATCCAAAGCACAGGAATGTTGAAGGGATTGGAAAACGTTAAAAAAACAAGCAAACTCATCTTCTGGGATAGACCAATCAAATCAATAGAGACAGTTTTGTAACATTGACAGGCCGTGACTGTCTTGTTTGTTGGTCACTTACCAGTTGAAGCCTCTGCAGAGTGCTTGCGATATCTGAAGCTCACGCGAAAGGAAAAACCAGCGCAGGAAATCGCTAAACCAAGCCGACGCATTCTCGCCTGCAGGACCACTGCAAAACAAAATCCAGTTTTCTGCCCATCAGTCTCCTATTAATTTGTCTTTTGTGATCCACACCCAACTGCGAGGATGTAGGCCCTCTGCATGCCCTTGAGGTGCCCTTACAGCAAGCATGTCCCTGCCCTAAGTGAAGGCGGGCCCTTGAATTTCAATCTGGCCTGAATTCGTCAATTTGGCAAAGTTTTGGTGGGCGCCGGACAGTCGCCACGCACCAGTTGGTTACATCCGCCCTGCACGTGAGAATCAGAAATATTTGTGAGCCTTCTAGGCTTTTCCAGTAAAACAGGGGATGCAGGGAGCACCGCACTTTTGCGCCTGGGTGGTTGGGCACGCCTTGACCAATTCGGTCCCAGGCCACTGTCTGAATGGGCCTGGGCACAGACACTTTGGCCCAACCTGAAGCTACTGGGCACACGCGAGGCAGGCCTGGCAGCCAGGCCACTTTGCATATAGCAAAGTGCCTGGCCGAGGACAGGCATTCGGGCACTTGCTTGTGCAAGTGGCAGCACTGCTGGAGCATGCACTCGCGCCTGCTTGCTAGCGCTGGGTGGTGCATGAACGCGAGCCGAGGGCGCTGCACTAAGGCAGCGCCATAGCCCAGCCCCCAGAGCCAGGCTTGGGCTTGGAACTAAGGCGGTGGGGTATGGCGGTGGTCCTTGGAAGGAGGTAGAACGCGAGTGAGGAAGTCGAGGGTGAGCATGAGGGGGGGAGAGGGGAGGTGATGTGAGGGCACACAAACCTGGTCTTGGAAGGGGTCAACATGGTCGACATCTGCATGAACTTCGGTTGCTGCTGCTGATGTCAACTGGTTTCGTCATTTCGTAGCCTGGTATTCCAGGATAGTAGTCTGGGCGCTGAGCGCCAATAGGAGGAAGAGCTTCAATTCATTGTTGGTGGTGGCGAGTGTATGCTTTCATTGACAATTGAGTTCGCTGCTTTGGTTCTCCTTCGGTGTGACATCGGTGCATTTCTGCTTTCTGGACAGCTTTCGGCTATCTGGCTATCATTGTGATTTTGCAATCTGGGATTCTGTATTTCGCTATTGCCCATTTTCCTTGCAATTTGGTGTCGGAGCTGGTTCGAGCCACCCCACTGGCTCCAGTGCCATAGCTGTTTCGCGCTTTGTCGTGGACGGCAAGGCGGTGACAAGGCTTGTGCGTTGGGTATATTGGCGGCCCTGTGTTGAGAGGGCGAGGCAGGAAGGCTATGTGGTGACATTGGGGTGCACGCTGGATGATGACAACTCGCTGATGTGGCATTTAAGCCGAGGTGGAGCTGCATTATATTGTGGGTTGTGCCGAGGCAGTGACCGGTCATCATAAATGCACGTCAGGTTACTGGTGAGAAATCTGCGGTTGGGGGCAGCATTATGAGGTACGTTGTCCTTACCTTATCTACTTTCTTCGATATTTCTTACCGTGAGGAAGGGTGTCTTGTCTTGCGAGTCCTCTCATAGTGCGGTGTCACGAGCGCTCAACCTTGAGAGTCGACATTCTTCCTGGGGAGCATGCGGCCTCTGAAGGGCCCTGGATGAAGCACTCGGGTCACTGTCACCACACATACCCAGTGGGAGTAGAGCACACATGCTTTGATGCTGAGTCCTTTGGTCTGCTTTGCTGCGCTGTAAGGGTCTTGTCGGGCAGGCCAGCCCTTTGAGGGAGAGACGAGTACCGGACCGTCTATAAAGAGACTCGGGCGGGGATACACGACTCATGCTGTACGCGAGTATAAAAATAGTATGGACGTGGCTGGCCAGTCTTGCATTGACTTGGGGCTTGGGTGGGCTGATTGCACATCTTTAGAGCTCTAGGGACGTCGAAACAAAGTGACAACTCAAGAAAGATTGAGGGGGAGGGAAGATTACATTAAACTGCCCGGTTGTTAATTATTGTTTGTTTCCATTTGGCTTGCATTCCAGCATATGGTTTTATTTCTATTTTGATTAGTTAGTTGTTACAGACTCTGCATGACAGACTGCTACAGGTAGAGTAGAATATTTTTCTTTGCTGCATTGCATTGTGTTTTAGACTAGTCAAGGTAGGAGTACAATTGTTTGTAAGGGTCCGAGGTCATCTGCTGTCACCACTTGACTACTTTCTGACATCTGGACCGGAAAATTATTTTATTTTTATTTAGTTTAAAGACCAGTTGGATGCCAAGCTGCAGTAGGTCCCAGCGAGGACAATAGTGCAGATCGCATGCCACACATAGCTCATGAGTGAAGATGACAGCGAGGTTGACAGACTAGACCAGGACGATAGGAGGATTACCCGTAGAGAAGCACTTCGCCGGCCGACCACTCTCTTGGTGTTGGAACTGAGAGAGGAATGGAGACTGCGTAGAGAATCGGACGAGAGGACATGTTTGCAGATAGCGCAGGCAGCAGCAGCTGACGCAGAGAGAGCATTAGTAGCTGCGGCAGCAGCACACGCTAGAGCTGAAGCGGAGACAGCAATGGCTTACCTCCTCTGCAATGTCCCAGGCCTCTTCTCAGGCCTCTTCGTCAGGTGTGAGTCAGGGTATGTTCCAGCCTTTCGTCAGTCAGTTTGCTCGCTCGCAGGGCAGCCAGCAGCAACCCATTGTCAGCCCGAGGATTATGAGATCCAACAAACCGATGAACTTCACGATGAGTTATGACAACAGTTGAAGGATGTAGAGGATAGATGAGAGAACGCTAGAAGAAGAAAAGCTGGACTAGAAGTAAGGGAGTGGAGTTAGGTAGGCTGGAAGCTATAGACGAGTCGGCACTTGATCCTGCTGTTAGGTCCCTTCGGCGCAGCCTTCTGAGTGTGGCTGAGGTACAGGCCGTGCAGCAGGAAATGTCGGCTGCCTTGATAACAGGCCAGAATTAAATTCTTTCCGTGCTCAGAGCACCTAGGCCTATGGCTACAGGACAACGCAACCTGTTGTAGCTCCTCCTGCGGTGGCAGGTCCATCGATGACGCTGCCTCCAATGTGAAGTCCCTTTGTTCCACAGTTTGGCATTAGTCCAACAGGCAGTATATTAGCTGGTGTTAGTGGGCAGGCCCTAAGACCACCTTCTTCAGTCCCCCGTCCAGCAGCTGCAGCTACAGGGCAGCTGCACGTCCAGCAACCTTTGCAACGCGTACTGCAGCAGCAGCAGGTGCAGCCACCGCCACAGCAACCTGTCCCACCGGTGTCTCAACCCGTGCAGCAGGCGCAGGGTTTTGGGCAAACAGTGCAATGGATGCCCAAGATCTCACTGCTAACTCAACCTTTTTCGGGGAACAAGAAAAAGGAGGAGGATCTTAATACTTGGGTTAGGATCATGCCCGCTTATGTGAGGCACAAGCTCACAATGCCCGAGGAGGAAATCACTGTTGCTGCGTCCTTTCTAGAAGGGTCAGCAGCCAGATGGTTAGACGGTTAGAGCAGCTCGGCTTCGGTCAGGACTTCAATGGTTGGGCACAGGCCCGGACTTTCGAGGAGTTCTTACGGATAGTCTACAATAGGTGGCATAACCCTGAGGAGACACAAAAGGCGGCCGACTCGCTGGCAGGCCTAGCATCTAGGAAGTACCGGTCAGTCCGCGAGGTAACAGACACCGTGGAGCGCTTGATCGGTGTCCCAGGCGTGTGGTATGATCCGCAGGTCCTAATGACAACTTATCTGCGATGTCTTCCTACAAACGTCAAGAATAAGTTGGGTGGTGAGGCTTCCATAGAGGTACATGACTTTGCTTCGTTTTGCAAAAAGGCCTTAGAGATAGAGGCCAGACTCGGGAGTGCGCAACAGACACTGACGGAGAAGGGGAAGAAGAAGATCCCCCAGGAATGGAAGAAGAAGAGCAATCTCATGTTTGTTGACCATGATGGCAACACCATTGACATTGAAGACTTCCCTGATCTTGGGAAAGAGACGAAGGAAGACGGGGGCCTCAGAGACTTCAGAGGGTGCATTAGCTGCTCCCATAAAGGCTAAGGGGGCCCAGAAACAGAAGGGCAGCCGGCCCAAGGGTCAAGTGGACCAAGGTCCACCCATATGGGTGAAACTTGGATTAAAGTTTGACATGTGCCATGACCGCATTGCTCGAGGCACATATCTCAATTCCGGACAGTATGGGTATGCAATGGCCCGTTGGAAGAGCAAGCGAGTCACAACGAAGATGGCATCCTCTATCATGGCTGTGGGACCTTCTACCTCGGGTGGTGCCTCTGCGAGCACTTCCCAAGGAAACACGTCGGTCCAGTAGGAGTTATAGCTGCTCATACCCATGCTGAAGTGGTGGCCTCACGCTCTAACTTCAGAAGCTGGTCAAAGCTATTTGCCCCCATATCGCCCCGCTGACAGATCCTGACCAATCAATACTACGTTCGATGGATGTGTCTGAGTCTGTAGAGGAGGTCGAGCAAGAGTGATTAGAGAAGGACCCTAGAGACTCCTGGGCAATGATGACTAAAGGTCCAGGGGGTGGACATTTCCTGGTAGAGGTCGATGTAGGTGGCCGTAAAGTTTGAGTCTTCGCACACATTGGTTCTACACGAATCTTCATTAGTCGTGCTTGTGGATAGGCTGCACCCTGGGGACCCAATGGAATGGCTTAGCACGTCTCTAGCATCTACCTTAGCCAACAAGCACCCCACGGTAAGGAAAGACTGTCAAGGATGTACTGTGCACCTTCTCCTATGGAGGAGGGGAATTGAGACATAAAACCTCATTCCTCGTTAGCGATGAGCTGCCATTCGAGATGCTGCTAGGTATGTACTGCCTCGAGGTTGCTAAGCCTCGGTTTGACTGGGATAGGAAGGTGATGATGTACAAGTTGCCAAATGGGAGGATTGTTAGACTGCAGAAGTACAAAGCAAGCAGGCTAGTCGGGTCCTATGGTTGCATGTTCGCTTAACTTTCCATAATTATTACAAGCAGAATCACGAAAGGGGAGGCCATAAAAACACCCCCAAGCAGAAGCAGTTGTTGCTATCCAGACCTTTTTGAGGAGCCTAGGGGCGTCATCGGGAGCATGCAATTGAA